GAAATGCAAACATCCTTGGGGCTACTGATAATTTGGTTCTCATTGTGAACAACCAATACTAATGTACCGGAGAAAAAATATTATGTTTAATCTGAAATAGACAAAGTAAATCTTATCAAGGTATCATATTCTGAAATCCATTCCTTTCTTTTGAGGAATTCCTTCACTTTTAATCCATGAGCCTATCAACATTTTTTAATAGTTCAAGTTTGCCTTCGTTGCCCTGTCAGTTTTCCCTGGTGTGAGGCCTGTCTTCTCTCCTCTCTGCACAGCAGAGCATTGCCCTGTGCCTACCTGAATGCAATGGGAATTCTTCAGAAGCTCTCACGACCCTCCTGTTGCACGTAGACAGCTGGCTACACACTGACAGATCTGTGGAAAAAGGAGAGGGAGCCTGACAAAGCGGATATTACACCCCCATTATAGCTTGGCTCCTCAACATACAGTTTTAACAGTTTTATGGAGATCTAATTTACACCATGAAGTTCATCCGTTTAAAATGTACGTGTCAACATTTTTTAATATGTTCGCAAAGCTGTACCACTTTAACAATAAGCAACTCCAGAACATCTTTATCTCCCCAAACCCTCCTCCCCCCACTACCTGTGGCCACAGGCAACTACTCATCAACTTTTGTGTACAGTTTGATTTTGAGGAAGTCATTTTAGCTTCATAAAGTTATAAACTAAATAGAGTTTCGAATTGTTTTCAATCTCTTTCTCTCATATATCATACTCATTTGAAAATAACCAATAATTATGTTATTTCATCATTTGTAATATGAATGGTGTCTCAGTACCATAGCAATTAGCCCAGCTTCTTAGTTGTAAAAATGGAGTGCAGATGGGTGAAAGGTGGCTGAAGATTGCCTGTTGATTTAACCGTGACAGGCTAATGCAGCTCTTGAAAAAATATTTTTTTTAGTAATAGGCTTTTTAAGAAATATTAAAACTAAAAAGTTTAATGATTGCTTTTGCTTCCTTTCAGTTCTATGCACAAAGAATTACCATGGAAATCTTAACTAGGTGTCAAATTTAAACTTGAACACAGGTTTTTTTGTTTGTTTGCTTGTTTGTTTTACTTTCAGACTCCTGTGCCTTTGGCCATTTCTTCTCTTTTAATTTAATGGGTAGAAGGACATTATGGTGAACCTGTTCATTTTAGTTCTGTGGATTACACATGTTTATCAAAGTCATAAAGATTTGTTAAAATCTTTTAAAACAATTTTTATCTTCTGCTAAAGACGCCTTCTTGCAGGTACCATTTTATATCGATGCTGCTTCCTTGGGGATTAAGAAAGAGTTGATTTTATCAGCTCTGGAAATTCCAAGTTCCGTGGACTCCCAGGTAATTTATATTTATATTTCTGGACATGGGTAGTGAGCATAATCCCTATTAAAGGTATCTTCCTTCCTTCCTGTTTGCAAACCAGCCAGCTCTGACACAAACCCATCTTCCTGCAGAGCTCTGAAGAGAAAGCTGCCAATAAATTAGAATAGTCTGAATGTCCCATAATTTTCCCTGGTGCTACATCTTCAGATGATGTTCACACTCTTCACTTCAAGGTACAGCTGGTACAGTCTAACCAAGTATTTTCCAGCCTCATAGCAAGAGTTGCCACATTATAACCATTGCCAGCTTTACAGCCTGAAATATCTGTGTCTTTACTGCCTGCCCTCCAATCCCCTTAATAAGATAATGAAATACTTTTTAAAAAAATTCTGCCATTTATAGTACTTAAAAATGATCCCAGTTTTAGGTAGAAGAGATCAAAAGTATATTTTTAACATGTTCATCCTGAATACATATGTAACTTCTAATGTGTAATATCATGCATGCAACTGGATCTATGAGCTTAAATTACAGAGGAAAGGCATGACCCAAGATAATATTTTGTGAGTAATCAACATTTAGAAAAATGGAGTTTAAATCCAAAAGATTATTAGACTTTCTCATTAAGAAGCACTGGGTGAGAGGACATAATAAAAATGAAGACCGTATTTTAGAAATTATAGTATTTACAGGAAACTCTAACAGAACATAAGAATCCAAAGCTGAAAGGATGAAGAAAGTAGCCTATTAGCATAGTGAAAACTTTGACACACACCTCTCGATACTGTAAAACAAAAAAGAGCAAACAAACAAAAGACATATTTGAGACACATAACACGATGAATCTAATGAATGTCTTCAGAATTCTGACAACAATTACAGAATACTCAGGGACTCATAAAACACGTAAAATGTTATATTTAACGGTAGAAATGTTTTCCAAATATTCCTAACAGCACAATATCATGTAGACTCCTTCATCATATGCAAATAAATTAGAAAATAATGATATTCAGGCTTTTTAAGGTTATTTCTTAGGCAATAAAATAATCTATCTGAGACACATTCATAAAAGAAATCCCAGGCTATTAATTTCCCCATTTTATAAATATCAAACCCTAAGCCTCTTGTGTATACGAAAATAACTAAATAAATAAAACAAAGCTCCGTGCTACAGATAAATTGGAGCCAGCAGCTATTAGTCACAGTAAATGTATTGAAGTGCCGTGAACCCAGTTCGTCCCTAAACCGCTGTGTTCATCCCTGTCCTGCCTTAATGCTCCTGTGACTTTTAAGTGGCACGTGTGAGAAGCCGGCCTAGGAAAGCGACTCCGTCAAGCGCACTTTACCGCAGAGAAAACCACACTCCTTTCTTCAAGTGCAAAGCCAGCGGAATGAAATCAAATTCCTTTTTTTGCCCTGAAGGAGTAAGAGTGTGATCTAGAAAAATAAGTATAAGCACACTTATAAAAATAGGTCCGAGTAGTATTTTCCCCACTCAGTTCATTTACTTCAGCAAGGGTATAAGGACCATCGTTTTCTCACTAAACTTTAAAATGAATTATGTGCAAGTACTGTACTAGGTTTGCAGTAACTTTGTTATCTTCTGGGGAAAAGAACAGCTTCGCTTAATTACCTGAAATTTTAATTCTGCTGTTGTTATTTCTTTACTATTTCTTACTTGATCCATTCTAAGAAAATTAGATTGATAGCAGAAGTTTACGAAAATATAAATGATTTCTCTAGACCTTCATGTGTAAAGTATTTTTTGAAAGGAGAATAAAATATATCAACCTTAACAAGTTGGCATTTTATCCAGGAACAAAAAAATTAAATATATATAGTCATTATAAAACAGATACCAAATGAGTTAACATCTTTAAGTGTTAATTGGAATTCAGATTAGAAATTTAGCTTGAAAAACTCGGCCTAGATAAGTGGATACACTGTGATCAGTTTTATGTATTTTAACATGGTGATGTAGCCATTGACTAATAATATAGTGAGTGGTAAGAGAGACCTCAGTGAAAGACATGGAATATTCAAAGTGGGAGGAAGAGTGTGGAAACAAGGCAAGATCAGGAAATAATGAATAGACCACCTTGAGAGAGAAACTGACTTTTGAGCTCCATCTGTTCAGTGAATAATGGTTTGTATTTAGCGCTCTACACAGAAATAATATGAGATAAAGCATGGTGTGGAAGGCTGTAGGTCCTAGTCGGTATCTATGTATGCAAGTGTGTGTGTATTTATTTTTATTTATTTATTTTTAAACCCTCACTCAAGGATATGGTTTTATTAATTTTGAGAGAGAGGGGAAAGGATGAGAGGGAAACATGGATGTGAGAGGGAAACATCAATCAGTTGCCCCCCCTTTGTGCCCTGGGGGGATAGAAACAGTAACCTTTGGTTGTCAGGGATGAGCCACGGGCCAGGGCGGCTGTAGTCAGAATTTAGAGGGCTCTCCAGCCTTAGCTCAGAGACCTAAATAGTGTCCTGTAACCAGCAAGGAACCTTGGAGACTTAGTGAGCAGAAGCGACTGCGACAGGAAGCAACTGTGATATGCGGACTAAATGGGTGATAACAAAGCTTTAAAAGACAGGAACTCTAATGAAAGGATTTGGGGACAGCTTTGCTATGTTAAGTATTCAAAACAGAACCGGAACAGAAGAAAAGAAAAAAATGATTTGTCAGCTACATTAAATAGGTAAAAGGACAGGCATTGCCAATTTGCAATACACGGATATTCATCCAGTTGTACAGATAAGCAGCAAAAGGCACCTTTAGTGGCCAAAATTGTGAACCTGAGAATCAGACTCCAAGGCCAAATCCTATTTCTACCTTATTCTAGCAAATCACCTAACATATATCTTAGTTTATATTTCAATTTTTTTAACTGAAAAATAGGTAAAATAGCAGTATTTCTTGACAGAATTTCTCTGAGATAAACAAAATATTTTAAAGCGTTGAGAAAGTTCATGGGTTGTGGTAATCACTTAAAAGTATTAGTAACTATTATTGGTAATGCTACGTAAGACTTACGACAGTAATACAAAATAAGTCATCACGTCATATTAATCTTTAGGATGTGAATTGATCTTCTTTCTTTCTGCATTTCATTTTCATTTATCTGAATCTGCTTCACTTCTCCTAGTTGCATTTGTGCATTTAAAATCTAGTGATTTTTCTATTGTTCTCGAAACATTAGCATGAGGCTACCTTTTCCCAGATATTTAAAAATTGCTTTTAAAACCATACAAATGATGCATACTCAGCTTAAATTTTATACTGGCAAATTATGTGTAAAAAAAGAAAGAAAATGAATAAGAAATTAATATACAAAAAAAACACTTTTAGTACAGACTTCTTATAAACCAGATATGTATAGATCAATCATTATGCTTTTTACCTATTTCGCTCAAATGAGTAACATTAAATGATCAAGAAAGATTGTTACTAAAGTCCTATTTGGAATCTAGCAAACCCGGTAATAATTATACTCCAAGGGTATCAGTCTGGAACATGTCAACTTTCTTTTTCAGGAGACATGGTATTCCTCAGAGCTAGTCTTCTGCCAGTCCTCCTAGCTACAATGTAGACTCCAGGCTCCTTAGTGTACTGTACATCTGGATTTTGACAAGTAGAAGGACAGTCAGCTCTATGGCATCCACTCCATTAGAATTATTTGGAGTAGCAATACTTTGTTTTTCTTTTTTTAAATGCAAATGCATACTCCTTCATTCAGACTTAAATCAGTTCTAACAATTGTCTCAGAGTTAATGCTGAAAAGAAGGTCATAGGGAAAACAGTGTTTCACAGAAAATGATTAGGGATTAAGGATATTGTAAAACTGAAGACTCAGAACACTTTAGCTTCTAGAGAAAGAGCAAAAGCAAACAATACATACTTATGTGTTTAAGGAGAAAAGAACCACTTTCTTTTTGAAAGGATTATTTATTATAGTCTCACTATTCCTGTGATGTATTAAATCCTTGACATTGTTATAGAAAATCAATTGGATTTAATCTGAAAAAGTGGT